TGTCCATAAGTCAATAATACCCCATATGCCCAATACCAATCTATAAAGTCCTCTTCAGACTCACAAAACATGTGCAATGACCCCAAATGCAGGAAGATCACAGGCCAGTGGGTGGGAAGTTTTGTGGATCCAGTGGCATTGTAAAGCATCTCAGCGCTGGCAAAAAAAAAAAGTCTCTATGTGGCTTCTCCAACTCTGAGGCTTGTCTGTCTCCATGTGGCTTGTCAACTGCAATGTCTCCCAGGGAGTGAGCAGTGAGAGAGAGAGAGAGAGAGTCTCCCGCCTCCAAGGAGGAAATACAGGAGTTTCCAGAATTCTCTGGAGAAAGCCATGCTCACACAGAGACCTCATTGGCTATGACCTGATTGACAGGCTAGATTCCACCCCTTCACTCTTAATCCTCTCAAATTGACAATGATATACCTACCACACAAGTCTTTAGATCTTCTTGTCTACAGGTAAAACAAGAAATAGAAGATCAGGTTAAATGACATCAAGAGGAAGCAAGCCACTAAATGTAGAATGTGGACATTGTACGTACCCACTGACCTGGTTCTTACAAGTCAAGGGCAATTTTTTAAAAGGAGGAACTAAACTCACTGTCCTCAAGTCAACCCCAGTTCATAGCGACCTAAGCAGCCAGGGTAGAACTTCCCTGTGAGTGCCCAAGAATAACTTTTTTTTTCCTTGGGAATAATATTTTTATTGACATTTCTTACTCACTCCAATATATCCCTTCCCTCCCCATACAAAGACTGTAACTTTTTACAGGCCTAACGGGTAACCATGGCAGCGCAGGGGCTCCTCAAGTGGAGGAAGAAAAAGGAACATAACCAAATGCAGTATGTACACTTCTTTGTGGCGGGATTTGAAAAACCTAAATATTAAACAAAAATCTTTTAGGCAATTGGCAACAGTTATTCAATGATGTCCAATACTTTTTATTTTGCTCGATGTATTAATAAGAGTTCTGGTAATATAGGGCATTGTGCATTGAGCTGATAATTACAGGGTCAGTTGTTTGGACCCACTAGCTGCTCAGAGGGAGAAAGATGAGACTTTCTACTACCATAACGAGTTACAATCTCTCTCTCTCTCTCTCTCTCTCTCTTCTAGGTGCAAGTATTTCCTGCTTGTTCCATGACAAC